TTATGCATCCTGCAGAGTAATTAATCTGTTGGAGAAACTAAGACCGGCTTGTTCTGCTTTCTATTCTCCTAGCAATTTCTGTCATATTCAGAAATCTTTGCAATAAGAACAATAAATTTGAATCGAGTGACAGACACTAATTGTTTGTGACCTGATTGTCATCTGTGTCATTGAACAGGGTATGACTGATCCCAGTGTACCAGCTGTAGATCTTTTAGTCTAAAAAGGTAAAGAAAAGACATCTTTAAAAATTGCAGCTCATGGGGCACTGCCACTGCTGTTCCACCTCTGCCCATCACTGTTGCAGAGCTGAGTCAGATGGCAGTGGGATTTCTGTCAGCCCTTTGTTATGGCAAGAGCCTCAGGGTGACATGAACAGCATCGCTGCCTTCCCTGCCCACAGCAGCTTCACAGGCTGTGGGAAAATGGGTCCTAGTCACAGCCACAGGGAGACAAGTCATAGGAGGAGGATCTGGAAGTCTGCAGCAAGGTTAAAAAGAAGGAAAAAATGGAGAAGTTTTGCTGTCTGATCTGCTTTTGTAAGAACCCAGGTATGTGCTGCAGTTTGAACCAAGAGACATTTTTCCATCTGTCTTTTTTAGGTTTTGCACTGCTCTCCATCACTGTAGGACCTGAACGCACAGCATATAAAATCAATAGCAATTGTCTCACTGCCCAGCTGCAGTATTTTCAGAAATGCACCCATTTCCCTGCTGTTCCAGTAGGTGAGACCCTTGGGAATGAATTCTCCCGTGAGCAGCCCCTGAAGCCTGGCTTTTCATTGAGCAGGGCACAAATAACTTCACTTAAATTCCTGTGCTTGGGAACCCACCTCCACTTCCTATGGGAGCACTGTTGTGGTGTTCTGTGTTCTGTGGTGTTCATGGTTAGCATCATGAAGAACTAGAATATAAGGATTGGGAGCAAAGTAGGTGAAGCAGTTGTCATTATGCATGCTTTGGAAGGCTGTCTAATTCTCATAAGAAAAATTGAAAGCAAACTGCTTGATGCTTCCGCTCTGTTGAAAGTTTCATTCTCCTCTTTCTTATGCCTTAAAGATGCAAGTGTTTTGTTCTGTAAACTGCAAGAACTTGTAGTATAAAGAATAAAGTTTTAGCTGTTTGAGCTGCTGGAATTAAATCATTGCTTGAAGTCAAATGAGCACACCACATCTTGGAGTTCCTTTCATCAAAGCAGGTCAGTTAACTTTAATGAAGTCATCTTCAATTTGCTTTGATGTAACATCAGAACCCAGCCCAAATGATTCTAAGCGATCAGCAAATAAATTTCCACATTGCAGTCTTTCAGGGACGTAGCTTAATGAAGTGTCTGGTTTTCTGGGTTCTTTAACTTCTGAAGTGCCTAATTTGACTTGCTTTTAATAAGGCCTGTTTGTGGTTTTGGGGGGGAAACTGCTGACTTTTCGTTGGAAACGGAGCCCTCTTTAAGATGCCATATGTTAGACAAGTAAAACAGAGGCATGCGGCATCACTAATTGCTATTAGTGTTGTAAGTCTGAGACTGTGCAATGCAGGAAGATTAGGCTGCAGATTAGGTTTTTCCTTTGGGGAGAGAAGAGATTTAGAGTCTCAAATACGTAATTTCTGTAATGACTTGAGTGAGGACTACTTGTCAGGCTAGAGATTACAATCTTAGACCCTTCTCTTTTAAAGCAACAGATGTTAAATAGCAAATCTGGTCAAAGGGCCCTATGTCCTCTCATCCTAAACTGAAATAAAAGGAAGAAACATAATGAAGCTCCATAAAATGCGTTCAGAAATATTTAGTGCCAGAATGTGCTTCGTATAGTAACGTCAAAGGAATTCTGTAATGTAAAATCAGTAACTGTAACACAGTTCTTGAAGAGTTTTTCAACTCAAATCATGTCTGTGTTTCTCTGCTTTTCTGGAAGAAAATTGTTCATTAGAAAGGACACAGGCCTTAAATACCCCCAAATTTCACATGCCTTTTTTTCTTTTTTTTTTTTTTTGCTTACAGCTTTCTCCCTTCGCATGACCCAATTGGAGACATGATTATATCAATCCCTAATTGTAAGCCTCCCTTGTGCTAGTTTCTCTCTCTCCCTTCAGACTGCAGAAGTGTATTACTAGCTGCAGACTGATCACTAATGTAAATGTAGACGCCATAATATTTGTAATAGTTGAAACAGAACCAGTCAGGGCTACACTAGAAGATTGCAGCCGGAGTCATAAGTCCCGTTCAGATGCAGTATGCTCATTTGTGATTCCTAATAAATGGTGACTCAACACTGGGCTGTGGTTTGGATTTGTATCTCAGACTGGACTGTTGCCAGCGTAAGTCAGCAGCAATCTTTGGCTCGTGAGCCAGACTCAGACTCAAACCTCTTGACAAAGGTTTGGTACTGTGCTGTTTTTCCGTTTACATGAGAAAGGAGAAATCAGCTTTTCAGCTGGGCAGTGATTCGTGTGGCCACCCTAAGATCACTATAAAGGCTCTTGTCCCTGCTGCTTTTGCACAGAGGAGCGTGGCTAAGCCAAATATGCAAAGACTTTCCAAATACTTCTGCATATACCTGAAGAACATTTACATCAATCCAAGTGTAGCACAGAGGCATAAATGAAAACTGAAGAGAAGCCTGAAATAATTGTAATTATCTTACAGAAATGGTGAGCTGACTTTTTTTTAATTTTTGATGTTCGGTCCACAAAGTGGCTTGCATTACTAATTCCTTGTGATTTTTATTTTATTTATTTCTTTATTTTGCCAGAAGGATCATGGGCTGGAATAGGCACCGTGCCATCCTGCTGGCTCACCTCAGTCTATCTGAACTGATTTTCTTGCATTCTTGTACATTTTGAGACAGGTTTTGAACAGTTTCCTACTTGTCTTTTGGATTAGCTCATCCCTTACTGGAGAAAAATATGTTTGAGAAAGGAAGACAGCATCGCTGGCCTGTTTTGCATTATTGAATGTTGGGGGATGAGTCATCGAAGGTTGCCCAAAATCCCAGTTTTGGGACTGTGACTGACTGAAGAAAAGAGATGTATGCTGATCAGATGTGCCGTTGCCTTGAGCATACCTTTCATTTTCACTGGTTTTGTTTCACTTAAAGCTTTGAAGAAGTTTGTTGTTGACTAAACATCAGTATCTCAATCCCAGTAGTTCGGTTCTTTGGTCTTCTCTCTCTGTGTCCCAGCAATATGAAACTCTATCAAAAGATGCTGCTGTGAAGCTTCGTCTTTCCACTTTCCCCTCCTGCCTGAGTGGCCTGTGGGGTTCCTGCTCATACCTCTGTTTGATCTCGCTCACTGGTGAGACCCGGAGCTCACCTCCCACACACACCTGTAATGAGACCATGGCTACATCAGCTTCTTGTTTTCCTTTCTTTTCAATGATTCATTGGGTTTGAATGCTTAGAGCTCTCTGAATTTTTCAAAAGCTTGACCATGCCAAGGATATTTTTCTGTAGGGCTTCATTTTTTTTTCCTTCTTTTGTCCTGCTGAGACAGTTGATCCTTTCAGCATATTACAACGAGGAACATGAAGGAGACATCAAAAACATAAATATGACCTGGGACCACTGATTGCAGTATGATGTGTGCATTTTAGGAGGCAATGTGTGACATTCAGCTGGTAGTTCATGTTCAGGCAGACTGTTTGTATGTTGCACTTAACCTTAGCAGGAGATTTTATCACAAGCATCTATAGTAGAAAACATTAACTTTATCTGCTCAAACCACAAATGAGCCTCTGCTTCTCCATTCTGTCCTTCTGTAATTAAGCAGAGATGATGACAGCCTTAGCAAATGAGAGCTGTCTTAGCAATGAGATAACAGAGAAATTCCCATACGAGGGCTAACTTGTAACAGACCTTACTTGACTTGGAGAAGCCAGTCCGAGCTTTGTAATATCATGTTTGTCTGTTACTAGCAAGCGTTGACAGTTTTTCTTCTCTATTTCTCTTTAGTTGTTTATTTGAAATACTGACATATTCATCTTGGAAAATTCTTGATTTGAAATATGTTGAGCAGGTCAAACTGCGTTTTGCTCTGCACTGTAAACGATTTGGAGGTTATTTACACAATTCTTTATGGTATCCCCAAGACTATTATAAATAACTTTTTAGCTAATGACAACTTGTTGATAGTCAGCCTTTTGGGAAGGAAAGCTTTGACGTGAAACATGGGATATTTGAGGAGCTTATTTATCAGAATTTAACGCCTAATTAAATAACTGTTGCCATGGAAGAGGTTCTTGGTGATGTGATTGTATGGGTATTTTTTTAGTGCCTGTTTCATTTTGTTTTAAATGTATTTTTGAGCTAAGCAGTAATATATTAGCATATGAAATCTAACAAGTGGATTGTTGACTGACTAATGCCTTAGCACTAAGCAGTGCAGGGTTAATCATTTTAGCTCGTGTGTCCAAACGTTGTGATCCTAGAAGCTTTGTGGAGCTGAATATCTGCACACGATACACATGGTCCATTTGACGTAGTTCTGAGGGGTGGAGGAAATCCAAAGCAATTTGTGGAGCTGTATCAGAGTACACTGGGAAAGGGTCTGGCCTCAGTTCACATGTGAATGACTTGCTTTTTCACCCCATATTCCTTTTCCAACTCTTCTGAGTATTTGACCTCTTACTCTGAGATCTCATTTTGTGGATTTCCAGTGTAGATATAGTGAGATGAAATCAAGGATAATTAGGCATCTTGAGAAGTTTGGAAACAAGATTCCTGTTTTCAGGGAATTATCTGGGAAAAAGGGGAAACTGAAAGCTGATAATTAGTTCTTTATAGTTTGCTCATTAGCAGTTACGCAGTAATAACGCAAGGTGTGTTGATATGAACTCTGGCTTGAAAAGCTGAGGAAAATTTCCACAGAGCCAAGAAGCATTTAGAGATTTTAGGTTTTGTGGGAGTTCAGACCTTGTTCTCTAAAAACTTCTGTGGGAACAGAAGAGGTTAGATGTATGTTCTTGGATAATTGTTTGTCTTTTTTTTTTTAACTTCTATTTAGGCCTTGCAAAGCCTATGGGATTAGTTGAAGGTCCAGGAGGCTTGGGCCAGGGGGGAATGGCTGCTACCCTAAGAGACGATAGCCATGAATCGGAGACTAAATATGAAGAATATGGTTACAATGCCCAGCTCAGTGACAGGATATCTCTCGACAGGTCCATCCCTGACTACAGACCAAAAAAGTAAGTTGAATTCCATATTGTTATTAGAGCAAGTGATTGTTTTTCTTTGGACTCTTGATGACAATTGATTTCTCCCATCCCTTTCCAGTTAGTCTGCCAACGTTTAGTCATACACATACCCTTGAGTTTAGTGAAAATTAAAATGACCAGCTGCCATCTCAAGCATGAAGTGTTGTGTCAAAAACAACAGCAAATCAACTGCCTCTTCTTTAACTGCACTTGATGTTCTTAGAAGTGTTTAGTCAGGGTCTGCAGTGCACTGAAACATAGGCTAAATATAATCCACAAAGGTCTTGTGATTGCAGTGAGATTTTTTTTTAGTTTCTGGAGTATGTGTACATTTTTATTCTAGTATTACAATCTCCATATGCCTGTGTTAAATTTGGAATTATGTGTTTATTGTATGTAATGGTTTGGTTTATTATATTTTGCATCAGATGTCCTTATAATCTTCCATATTTGTGGAGTTATGCATCTTCCAGATGTGACATCCTCTCTGTCAGCCAATGAATGACAATCAGTAATGTCTTAATGCTGAGAAAATCAGCAGCAATGCCTAGCTACTCTCAGGAGACAGAACTGAAAAGAATACTTAATTAATTTCTAATAATAATCTTCTGTTTTAAAAAACCCACTGGGGCTCCTAGGCAGAACTGGAAGTTAAATAAAAAAGTATCATATTAAGCAGAGAGAAAAGTTTAGCCAAGCAAAACAGCTGTGCTCTGTGAGTGGATCGCAATAGAATTAGGATTTTAGGCAGCTCAAGCTGCCAAAAACAAAATCCAGCAAAACAAAACATCATCTTAACCACAAATTTCATTAGCTGTGTTACATATTAATCTAATCTCAGTAGTATTGACTCAGCATTTGTTTTCTCAGATACTTGCTGTACAAAAGAAAACGTAGATCAAAGAGGTGGTGAAGGGAAAAAAAAAATGCTGCTTTGATGTCACATTTGGTCAATGCCTCATAAAAATGTGTAATGAAATTATCCTGGGAAAAAAGGTAGACTGCGATCGTCATGCAAATGTTTGAGTTGCACATCAGATTCTGGTTCAAAGTCCCTTAAAAGCAATATGAATTTTTTCAAGTAAACGTCAGTGAGGTTTGACCAGGCCTGTTGTTAGCTGCTGGTCAGGTGGGTGATAAATTATCTACCTGGAAATATAAAAACGAAAGCTGCAAAGTTTGAATCTAGCTTAACAGCTCTTAGAAGCATGGGAGCATTCACAGCGTAGTGATGTTTGACTTTAGATCGTGCTCTTCCACAGTTGAAAGCATTTATGATTCTTTCAGCTAAGCTTTTTGATATGGTAATCTCATAAGGCCGGGCTGCATGCATAACTGTCTGAGTTATGAAGAACTGCCTTCCTTGTGGTGTTCCAACATTCTTTAGATGATTTTGGTTAGACCCAGATTCTGGAATAGTGTTTTATGGGTGGCAGGGTAATTGCTATGAAAAATGAGTTTGGGGAAGGTAGCTGTTACATGAAGTGCTGATTTTGTATTTCTTTGTTGTTAGTCAGTTTGCTTTTGTCTCTGACACCTTCAGATGTGCAGAAATACAGGGTCTGTAATGTTGAACTCAGTTTTCTCTCCCTTCTTGTGCCATGTATTGGCATGCCAGAGTAATCAACCTCTTCTTATCCAACGTGTCCTATAATGCTACTTCCAGCTGTGCTCCATAGCCACAGGGCAAACCTGAGCCTGACTTTGGTTTGAGAAATAGCTGTGGGGAAACCAATGTGTCCATCCTTATATGGACAGCAGCTTCTCAGTCTGCTTGTGATTTATGCTTATGTTGTTCCCAGTATTTTCCGTCTTTAACAAGAAAGCACTTTTCATTCTTCAGTTGAGAAGCAAGGTAGAATTGATGGCCAAGGCGATGTACAGAGTCCGTGGCGAGTCTCTGAAGGAAACCAGACTAAAATACATGCGTATAGATTTGTCTGGATTTCGTAGACACAACTTAGGAAAGTAAACATGATTTTACTATACAAATATAGGACTTGTAATATTCCAGGTTTAATCTTGTTTTAGAATAAATTTGATCATGAATAACACCTTTTGGTTCATTTTATCTTTGAACTCTTAGTTTATCTTTGACTTATTTTTTTCCAGTATTTCATTCTGGTAGAATGAGCATTTTCTCCCATCTTCTAGCATATATTCAGTAAACGTTTGGAAGTGTGATTGGTTTTCAGCAGGTATTTTCATCCCCACTCAGCAAATTAAAAGTACATTAGACTACACAGGCAGTGTGACTGTGAAGGTCCCTAAACTGGAGTCACCGCCATGTCCTTCCACTGCAGTAAAGTCTGCAAGCCTGTGTGGGCAATGCTGTGCCCAAATGCTTTTCCCATAAACCGCCGCTGGGTTCTGCCTTCCTATCTGCTGCCAGCTCAAATATAACTGCGCTCAGAATGCTTCTCTTTGAGACGAGAATCGTTAAATCGGTAGCAGATTTTGTGTTGTGTTTGAAGCAATGACAGTAAATATCTTGCTTGCAATTACAATTCACATAATAATTGCAAAATGATAGTTTGATCCTAACGTGGTGTAATAAATGTCTCAGCTTTTTCTTCTCTATTGCACCTCCCACAGTTTGAATGCTTGCCCTGTCTCTCTGCATAGAGCCGACAACCCTGGGGAAAGCAGTTCAAAAACATACTGTGATTTGATATTTCAAGCTGTTTAGTTTCAAGAGACATGTAATATATAGAAATTGCAATTTTGCTATATAAAACAATGCAAAACCTCTCCAACAGTTTGTGAGTATATTCAATGTGACCTTGAGCAGTATTTTCATTCCATGTTGGATTTCACATGCATAGAATGTGCTGGTATCGAAGTTGTGCTGATTTTTTAGCAGGTTTTTTAATTCTCGAGTAACTTTTTGCCTTGAAGCAGCTGAGTGCTGTGCTGCTGAGCTCAGGAAAGATGCAAAGACCAAGCAGCAGGAATGAAAGGTGTTTGAGTTCAGTGTGGAGCAGAATATTCAGGATTTCTTATGGCTGACGAATGAGTATTTACACACATTCAGCTAATAACCCTAGAATTGGACTGACCTGAGATTTTTCACTTTCAGATATCTTTCTGATCTGTTAAACTACATAAAAATAACTGTGAAATAGTGGTCCAGTCACTACTGACTGTTACTATGTAAATTTTGGAGTAAATTTTCCAGAAGTACTTATGAAGTACCTCAGAAGACTTTTGCGTGATTATTTTTGCTACAAGGGAATTGTTAGCACTTGTGATGGGATTACTTCCTCTGTCATACAGGCACATAGGAAGGAATAGGTTATTTTCCCCTGGCAACACATGGCTAAGCCAGGGCGTGCTCTCTGACTCTCCAGGTTATTCAGTGGTCAAATGTTATTGGATTCAATTCCATTTATGTTTTTGATCGTAAAAATGAGGGTTGTGATGGCATGAACCTGAGTGCTGTATTGGCTAATGGCCCCAACACATATGCATGGGAAAGCATAAGCACACGTGTCTGTATCAGCTGACTTTACTGACGTGTGTAGGTGTAGAACAGCCTGGAATCCTGTCCAAGGACGTTCTGTGAAACCTGCTAGGCTGTGTATGCATCCTCCTTACTATGATGTCAAAGGATGAGTGTTTGACTGAATGGCCAAAAGTAAGTCTGGAGCAACACAGCCAAGATTTAGATAGAAATCTCACACTTAAGCTGAAGTGCCCGGCATCAACCACCCAAATCCCTGCTGAGTTGTTTGACTTCAAGTGACTTAATTTGTTGGGGTTGCTGAGAGGGAAAAGAAGAGCAGATTTAACTGGAGTACGCTGAACTGCTACAGTAGATCCAGGAGCAGCCATAGCCATCCTTCTGCCTTTCTGGGGATAACAGCCTTCACTGCTGCAGCGCAAAATACAGGTCTGTGCTCCTGTAACAAGAGATCGCACTCAAACCTTCCCAGCCATGCATAAAGATAGAGGTGCTGCAGCTCTGTATATGGCAGTAGATTTTTGACATTATCAAGGATTAAGAATACAGAAGTCAGAATCCTATGGAATTTCTTACAAAGACATGGAGGGAAAAGGCCCTCAAGCTTTCAAACACAGTTTATTTTGCAATGTGGCATCCTGGTAAATTGGGAAGTGTCAGATAACTGGGTGCTTCAAATGTAAGCATCATCTCCCAAGAGAACATCAATTCCTGTGTTCTTTTTGATATAGAAGGGTGGATTGCAAGAGGTTGAATGAAACAGGGTGAACACCTGTAAATCCAGCCTTCTCTAACTTCCTAACATTTGACTTTACAATTCAAATAACTCGGTTTCTCTGCATGCCAAACACATCCACACACATGCACACGTGCACTTGTCAAAACCTCTTGCTGTGATGCATTACACGTACTTTTGAGGAAAGTTAATATGATCCTGGGGCTTCCATAAGGGCTGAATTGGTTTTGACAAGAAATTGTCGCTTGCTGGAGATCTTCAATGTAACTGATCTCTTCTGTGCAACTCGATGCCAAGAGCACTGTGGCAGTTCAGTGATAACAATAATACTAATAAATGGATTCAGTCTGCTGGCTCTATCAGCCAAAGAAAATATTTCTTTGTGTTATGGTCATGGATGTTTGTACTGAGAAAATTCAACCCTAAAGAACAAACTTATTAATGCTGAGGCAACTCAAGTCTTTAGCCATAAAAAGCAGAGGAATCTAGGTCTCGAGGAAATTACTTTCATTTATTCAGTCCTTGTATAAAGGCAGGCGTTTCGTGGCTCGCTATAGAGTTTCACAATAGAAAAAGAATTGCATCTCTGGGGCTCTGAAGTGTAATTAATGGTTCACTCCACACTATAACTAAGGAAAAGCTTTTTTAATTACCTATCAGAAAGGATTCTGGAATTGATCAAATAGTGCTATCAAGGGGCAGACTTGGTAAATAGACATCTGATTTGTTCATTCAAGGGTTTAATAACCGCAGCTCGTCTGAGGCCAGCAGATAGAAACGGCCTTTCTATAG